ATTTAGGTGATTATAATTTCGCATCATGAAATCTTTGTTTCAAAGTGCGGACATGGCTGTATGTCATTGGTACTGCAAGCAAGGAGAGAAGAGGCAACCGTGTAATCCCAGTCATTAGTGAGCTTAAACCGGATTTGGTGGAGCTACAATAATGGAGACTCTAGTGGCTTCCACTGTGAGACCCAACAGGGAGGACCAGCGTCCGCAGAGGTCCGACTGTCCAAGTGGACTCAACTGAGAGACGGTAATCTGGATTTTTGAGCGTAACAGTCCGTCTCTGTGTGACTGCAAAATGGCAAACACAAATTTTGGTCCTTCAGCTTTCAATCTCCCAGAGATCACTCTCGCTCTTTGTCCTTCTCTTTCACTCTCTCACACACACATTCTTTCTCTGATTCCCATGCTTCCCAGCCTCATAGAGAGGTGTAAACAGAGCGCCGTTGGTGTTACCATGGCAAAGTCCGGCTGCAGCCCAAGAATGGGGAATATGCTCTGCATGTGGAGAGACATACATGCTATACAGTAACATTTTCACACACCCTCGCTGTAAAGCATGCATGGGCAATCTGTCTTAAATGATTTAGTTCTGTATGAAAACTTTGCAAAACCCTTAAAGAAAAAATCAATTTGTACACATGATGGGTCACTTCATCAGAGTTTGGTCATCTTTAGTTTTGGAAACTGTGCAGTTATTAATGATTGATGGCAATATGAAAAGGAGCTGCATTCCACATATTTGCTTAATTAGGATATTAGAACGCTAACAATCAGTGCAACTTTAAGATCATAAAGCTCTCCCTTTATCTAAAAAGGGCTGTAACTGATTAAATGGATCTCCAACACACACACAGTCCTAACACAGGCAGTTTCTACCAACTTCTTCTGGACAGAGAGCAACAAGCTGCACGTTTCTGACGACACGCAGTGAGATTCAGGTTTGAGCATGTCAGTCTGCAACAAAACAACTGGCTTCAATCACAGTTGTTGATTGAAAACACAGACAGAGGAGAACAATCAACATGACATTTTGTTCCTTGCCTGCACACACACCCTGACACACACACACACACAAAGATATTTTCTGCAGGAATCAAAATAATAAATCTTTCTTTGAACTATGATAAATTCCCTCTGAGTGCAGTACACAGTGTACCCTGCCCATGAATTATGGACCTCTGGGATCAGAATCCTGCAGCGGTCATCTCTCACCGAACAGTTTATTGCTCTGATTAAATGCGACTCTGCTACCAAACACCTAAAACACAAGACAACGGGCATGCATAAACCACCGGACTCACACGCGAGGACGTTTTTATGTCTTTTACCTGTGTTTAAATATGCATCATGTCTTTGTTAACAAGAATAATGTTTAGCTGATGCGTGCAATAAAAACAGTACGAAACAGCAGCTTGTTACAAAGCTGTAGCTCATAATTGTCACTGCAGTCCCTCTTCGATATCCACTGCTCTGCGTTGAGTTTGCAGCATTTTTGTCTGAACAGATGTGCTGGTCAATAATGGTTGACTGAAGTTCACTTGTTGTGATTCACGATGGCTAAAGTAAAATGGACAAAGTTTTCAAATCTTTGAGCCAACATCAACAGCCAGCAACAAAAGATGCATCTGGTTAACTATCTAAAAAGCCACCTTGAATTCAAATTTGTTTACAAAATGTCCATCAAAGGCCTAAAACAATCTCCATTTGTCTCATAAAATTAAAGATTTGTGCCAAATCAGCTTTCCTTTCATTTTAATTGGACTTTACCTCCTAAAATCCAAATAAAAACATTAAAATTCCCCCAGAAAGCCTTAGAATATGTTGATCCAAGTGCTTTGATAAAATGGCAGAACAAGTGGATCCTTAGAAACAAGTTATTAAAAAATGAAGGATGACTTGAAACTTTTGCACATGGCATTGATTTGACTACTTGCTGTAGGAAAATACAAGATAAAGAATGACAATAAAAATCTTACTCAAATCAATAATGCTTAAAAAAAACATTATTGTGAAATTCATCCATATTTCCATTCTATCTTTTCCTTATTTTCTAACAACAGATGTTTGAAGAAAAGGGAAATAAACCGACATTATACTTAGTTCAGTCCAGTTCTGAATAAATAAGAGGGGTTTTGAATGCCTGCCCATGTATAGATAACACTCATTTCTAATCAAACTGCATCATTTCTGTGGATAAAATACTAAAGAGAAACAGAACTGTGGAACAAGAGTCAGAATATTTCAGAGCTAAGCTATCCATGAACTGAATTTATAATCAGAATCCAATATAAATTAGTCTAAGAAGACCAAAAATATTTGCAAAAAATCATACAAGCTCATCAGTGGATGCTGTTTTCTTAACTCCTTGCCCACATACACTGACTGAAACAGTGATTTTTCTCAAATAAAATCCTTTTTCATTCAAGGCTGGAAAAGCTGGATAAATTATCAATCACTTCATCTGTTGCTGAGCTCCTCTGCTGCCAAAGACTCGACTCATTCTCTCAACGGATTAAGCCACTTTTGTCTGTTTACAATTTCATCAGTTTCTATGTTTGTATGCATGGCACAGCTTAGAAATCTTGTGTGAGTGTGTGTGTATTTTTTTTTCTTTACTTTGCCAACGTTGAAACAGGAGCCAAAGGGATTTTATCCACTGTGAGCAGTCATTCAAAAACAGGCTGAAACTGTGCCGAGTTTTGGACTACGTTCACAGAGGCCATCTGCAAGCTGCTGCGCACCAAGAACTGAGGCGAGAGCCGGTCTGGAGGCATGATGGCAAAGCAGTGTGATGCTGGCCTCAGAATAAACAAGCAATTTAACTGGACAACCTTCATAAAAGCAACTATTGACGCTGTTCAGATTTCTGTTTTGTAGTCTGACCAATGGCTAGCATTAACATTGATTTCAGAAGTTGTAATTGTCTCTGCTTTATGCCTTACGCTGTCATTTAACGTTTACATGTCTTTATTGATATCCCATTAGAACCGATGGATGTTTCTGCTGCCGCCACTTGCAGCGTCCATGTAATTGACTGTAACGTTCCTCTCTGAGCCTGAATCAATGGTGGTCATCCGACTCTGTCTAATCTGAGGCAGCAGCTCCGCTCGCTCAGGGGTCACATACCATGACCATGTGTGAAAATTCCTGGCCACTTTAAGCAAGCACACATGACGGAGACCAGCGCACCAGGTGGCATTCGCACACAAACACATGTACGAGTCGACGCAGACAGGATCGTAGACTACGGCTCCTAAAACCTGCCAGCACTCGCGCTCCCCATTCAGATATGCACACATGTGGACACAGAAATCACTTTTAAATCCTCGGCACAACTGGTCGGCATACACCAGGCAGCACACACCCTTCGTCTTTCATTCACACACATGCACACGGCTTCAATAAGCCCTCTGTGTCTCATTTTCTTGCCCGGCCCTTCAAGCCCCAGCTACCCCATGTGGAGCAGGTGGATGACAACACACACACACACAGGCTCTCTTTTTTCGCTCTGCTTCCCCTCACTTTCCACGCACCTCCTTTTAATGACCACGGATATGTTAAAAAGCTCTGCCACTTAAAGCAGCAGCCTCCCTTTGCCACTTAATTTGACATGCTTGGAAGGAAAACAAAGAAAGACCCCTATTGTGTCTTTTCAACAGTTTCCAATCAAGCCTGCCACTCAATTAGCCAAAGAGGGTGAAGAGAAAGAAAAAAATACTTCATAAAAATCCATTTATTAAGACCTTTCATCAGAGCTACGGTGTTTCAGAATTTTTCTGCACATTCAAACCTCAGAATCAGCTTCTACCCCACCGTTGAGTCTTGTTTCTCAGATTACTTTCCTAGAAAAGATGAGCAACTACACAAATCATTTCTAAAATACAAATAGGAAAGACAAAATATATGGATTTTTTTCCATGTCTCCTCTCGGCGTGTAGAGTTGAGCTACATTTCCTCCAAAGATGAGTCACATCAGAAGAAGATGCACAGGTGAAAACAAATCGACAGAGGAACAGAAAGCAATAACGGTAGGTGACAGACAAAGAAGGAACATCCAAACAAAGCATCAGACACTTGAAAAAAATCAATTTGTGCGTCCTGCCAACAAATAGAGGAAACAAACCTCTGTATTTGTTCTTGGTTACTGTTGGTGGCACAGAATGTGTATCAAGACTGTGTTTGGTAAATTTAGTCCATAAATGATAATTATATTTTTGTAGCGGGAAGAAAAATGAAATATTTTCTTTGATGTTTTTGTTTTACTCTTTTAAATTTTGCTATAAGAGCACGGGTGGGTGTGCTTGGAAGTTAAAAAAGCAAGGCTCAGGTCTCCAGGTAATCTGTACAGGGTAAAATAAGTTCAGGCAGATGAGAAAACTCAAAGTAGAAAACAACATTAATTAGTAGTTTGATCTGATGAGACACTCCCGACTCCCCAAAATTAAAAAGTATCATTATTTGATGATGAAAAGCAGAAAGTGCACGAGTATTTGACTAATCTGCTTGCTCTTGCTCTAGTGCTTCAGGGGTTCCTGTTATGCTGGTCTCCTGAACTGCTTGACTGCCTGTTCCCTGCAGATGTCCCACAAGAAAACAATTGTTTAAAAGTCCAACCTTAACCAGGTGAGCAGAGGGGACATGGACGGGGTGGGGAACTCTCATGGTCTGTAGATTTTCTTTCATGATTTCTTGAGTTTGTGAATTTGTTTGAAATTATCTTGGTTTTATTTCCTGTTCATCAGTCATGCAAGCCTCACTTCCTGTTTTATTGTGTAGGAGCTGATCGTGGTTAGAATTCAGCAGACCTGTTCATCATCGCTTACTTTGTCTTCTGCTTTACTCAGTTTATTCTTGTCTAGTTGATCACCGTGCCTTTTCATTTTCATGTGTCATGTAAGTTGATTTGAATCCTGAACTTCCCGGCTGTTTGCATTTGGGGTCTTTCAACCACTACCTGCAATAATACCATACCAAACAGTACTATCATATATACTATCACCCACCTGGCAGCGACATATAACGTCCTGTTCATGATCATGATGAGCTGGATGTCCAGTTTGTGCCGCTGCGTGTTGTTCCTTCCAGGTTTGTGTCCCACAAACGCTGGATACTGTTTTGTGTCTGTAAGAAAGGAACAAAGAGTATTGCTTGTGGACATATCACAGCTTTTCTCAATTTTCTAGTGAACTTCGGTCAAACGTAAGCCCGCGTGTCCTTGCTAGATGAAAAGCTACAGCCACAAAACTGTGGGTTGAGCTCTCTCCCATGCAACAACAACTTGTCAGATATAAATATGCTACACTGTATTGTGGCATTGCTCTATTGTTAGTGGCTTTAGATGAAAGCGTGCGGTTTCAGGAAATAGTCTGAGGCACGCAGGTTTATATGAGTCTGGCTGGCTTGTGTTTTATGTCTCCAGGCCAGGACATACAGCGTTTACGCCCACAGAGAGAAGAACAAGACACGATCAACAGAAATATACAGAAGTAACAATGAACATATCTTTACAGCTTCCCTGAGCCTACACTATCACATAGAGCATAAGAAGCCCGACAGAACAGCAGATTATCCTTTGATGTTAGGTGGGCTCTGTTTCAAATGCTGCCTTAAGTCTTTTATTATAGTTTGTGCATAGAAGGCCTATCCTTGGGTGCCAATTTGCGCTTCGTGCCATGAGAATGCGTTCAGCTCATGGAATGGTAGGGGTTGCAGAAGAGGAAAGGGTTGAGAGGGATGTGGAGGAGCAAAAGGATGAAACAAATGAGACAGATACCGAGAAGGAGGATCTGTAAAGTTGGAGACAAAGAGGAAAAGGAGTGAAAGCAGAGTGACTACTTGTAATGAGAGGAAGAGCAGTGCCCAAGTGGAGCTAGTGGAAAAGGAAAGAGAAGCAGAGAGGAAACAATTTACTTACAGTTTCCATGTGAGATGCTAATAGGCTCGCTGTCCTCAGGGAAGCCCGCCCTGGCTATTTGTAGTAGCGTGAAGTAGAGTACCAAGGCCTCTGACCTCATGGTCGCACCAACACTGCTGGTCCTCTGCTGAATATTTGGCTTAGCCTGTACAAGAAGAGGCACAAGTGGTAGACAATGATTAGTTGTAGGATAAAAAGGGTTGACAAACCACACTGTTAACTGCAGAATCATTACCTCCACCTAACAAGGTTAAGTCTGGATTCTTCTTTGTTGAAACGTTTTGTCTTTTGTCCAAAAACGACTTCTTCAGTTTTGGATAAAAGATGAAACGTTTCAACGAATGGTTTAGTCTACATATTTGTAGTGGGTACACTGGGCTTAGAAACCAAAGTGCAGCGGTTAATACAATGTAATTGTTAATTTGTTTTGATTTTGAAGCATATTGAACATTTCAAAATTTCTCGGATACTCATAGTACAACAAACATTGTACAACAGTTGGCTTTGTATTAAAAACTTGTAGAATTTATAAAACAGTATCAAAGCAAAGCATGTTCAAGTATCAAGTAGTAAGTACAGAAGTATTAATTATATTAAAAAAACAGGTTGAACCAACTCAGTGTGTCTATAACATGTTCCAGATGTGTTGACAATGACACAAGCCCATGTCATGTATCACTGCCAATGATACATGACATGGGCTTGTGTCATTGGGAACTTTTAAGTGTGTATACTGAAATTCTCAAGCTTTTCTAGTATCACATACACCACTGGTTTCAACAAAGAAGAATCCAGACTTAACCTTGTTAGATTTATCTACCTGGATTATTGAGCATGCATCAGGACATTACCTCCACCCTTTGATGTCTTGAAGACATAGAAATGCAGAAAACAAGGAGGAAAGTCCCAAAAAACTTCAGCTGGTTGTTTGTGCGTTTTGTATTAGTCTGTTTCAGTCGGTCAGAGATATATTTATATGCATGTTCAATGACTCAAGTAAGCCATGGAGCTAGTGAAACAAAACTAATTGGATTAGGGAGGTAATATGCGTCATAGATCGATGTCAGACAGAGGAGATCTCTGCGCTTCACCCTCCCCCTCGTTACTTTGTAGGAGAGCTCTTGTTAAGATGAACCTGCTGCAGCGTATCAACTGTGTGTGAAGATGAGGCAGGACAGAACCTTATTTCCCACCCGCCTGTCTCTCACAAGTGTGGCAATCTTGTTTCCCAAATGTGTGCATCAGAGTGGATATGAGTCTGGAGAACACTTCACTTCACCACAGTGGTGATTTACCAGCCACCTGGAGGGTTCCTGGGATTGCCCTTACTTGTATTTGTCATTTCACTTGGTCTTAACTTACTATTATCAATCAGCAGACAAGAAGGCTACACAAAATGTTAGTTTTTGTTGTTGTTTGATTATCATTTTACAATTTCTACAATTTTATAAAAAGATATTCACTGTTATAAAATAAAAAAATATTTTTTTTTTTTTGCATCTTTCACCCACTCAGAGGTTGAACCCTCACTGCTGCAAGCTTCGGTTCATTGATGACCTGACCATAAATGATTTCTCTCATCCATATTTATGTTTTTATTGGGCTTCAGTAATGCCATGAAGTGAAAATTTGATGAAATTTCCAACACAAAAAAGTCAAAATTGCACATGTTACTGTCAAAATATGCATACATTTGCATCACTTTCTCCCTTCAAGGTCTAAACAGGAAACTATGGTTCAAAATTCTTAAATTTAGTTCATTTGTAAACTCAAAAAGTTTTCTCAAAAGAATATTGAATAATTCTTTAAAGCACTGCAAAAATGAAAAAAAAAAATGTCAACAGGCAGATTAAACTATTGCTGCTTTGTTTTCAGGAATCACATTTTCTAAAATATCCTTTAAGCGCTCAGAATAAAAGTAAAAAATAAAGATTTCTTTGTCAAATAAAATAAAATGAAAGGAACTTATCTGCTGGCACATCTGATCTTAGCTCAATAGTTGTAAAACTGACTTAATTAAAGCATTTTATGTGTTAATTAAGGTTAGTTTGCTGTGGTAGCCATTTTAATTTGAAATCACTCCAAAAGTTAAACAGTTTTCCTATCTAGTGTTTTCTAAAGTCATTTCAATTGGTTTCAAAACATATCACTTGTTACGGTACATCTGATGATTTTATTTGAAAGTCTTATTTAAATTTGTTCAGTGGTTTGTGATATATTTTGCTTTTAGACAGCGGTGACACTCAATAAATTAATGACAAAATTTAAACAAAGATCCAGCAATTTAGCAGCGCGTAGAACATTTGTTGATTAGTCTCAGCTACTACCACACTGAAACTTGGGTCCGTTTTTGTAAAACTGAATGTGTTGTAGCCGTTTTGTTTTATGCAAGTACAGTTGACTGTGGCAGCCATCTTGAATTGGATTGACTCTAAAAGTTAATCAGTTTTAGGAGTACACCCAATACCTTCTTCCTGCAAATTTCATTAAAATCCGTACATTGGTGCACGAGATCTTTTAACAGACATCCAAGTGCACACAAATATACAGACAGCAGCAAAAATCTTTATCATCCAACTTCCCTTTTTTGCGGTGGATAATACAGATATTTAGAGCCCTTTATTATAGCTCAATATCTGTAAAATTGAAAAGAAAAATGACAGTAATGCCTCTTTAATTGATGATATGTGACTTATCCATGCTGCTGATTATCTCATGTTGCTGGTTATCTTAAGCTGCTGTATTCATTCATACCCATCTACTCACTAAAGACTCATGTTTGGGCTGCTGTTTAATAAATCATATTGTTTTAGATTATTAGTGTTTAGTGGATATCTTACATCCTGATGTACTGTTTCTTTTTATACTTGATATTTTTGCTATTTTGGGGTGTAACTGGGACCTTGAGTACACAATTATGTCCAGCTCATGTACAACATGTAATGCAAATGACAATACAGAAACTTGAAGTTGAACTTGAACTTGAACAATGAAATGACGAACATAACAAAGAAAAATCCCTCAAATTTAAAACCGATAAATCCTCTTTTTTTTAATCGTCTAATGGGACTGTACATATTGAAGGAAGTTTTATTACAAATGGCCAACAAAGATTTGATGCAATGTTTTCGTAGCTCAAATCAAGCCAGCTGAGCTGTGCTCACCGCAGTTTGAGGCAAACAATTACACCCATAAATCATCCCGGACAATTATTGCATCTGTAATCTAATCAAGAATAAAGCATTTAATTTGCATGAAGCACCTTCCATTTTTTCTGGGCTGAAGCTGCAGGGGTGAGATGTAGCTGGGTAGATAGATTAGAGGGGGAAGCTTCAGGGATGAAGAATTGAATAAAATAGTCGATTTCATTTGCTCCAGCCTGATAAAAGTCGTTTATCCCACGCTGTATTTTCATGCCCTATTGTATATCCAAGGGGAGAAAGAACAGGAGAGAGGAAAGAGGAGGAGGGGTTACTTTCTCTTTTCTCTGTCATGTCCCTCTAACCCTCTCTTCCCCCATCTTTCTTTCTCGCTCCATGCTCCTGTGAATCTCATTCAGGAGAGGAATGAAAACACTATTCACTGGTAGATTCATTTTAAAACTGAGGAGAATACCAATACCAAAGCCTGGATACAACCTTGATCTCCAAAGCTTCTCCTTTCCCCTCCATCTTTTCTCACTCGCTGGCATGCTTTTCTCATCCTGACATATTTTTTTTTCTGTAGCCATAGGTTTTCTAGAAGAAAAATTAAAAGTGGTATTTTCTCACCTTTAACTTAAACCTCAACTAAGCTGCACATGTCAAATTTCTCTAAACTGTAAACAGAAATTGGATTTCTCATGTACAGTAGATTAAGCCTCTATGGGGGGTTAAAAACGAGAGTCTTTTCTGAACCTTGACCCAGAACTCTTCCCATAATTGACTGATTGATGAGCAGGAGGCAGCATGAGAAAGAGAAGTTAACCCTGAGGGAGAGAAAACGGCAAATGATGGATGGAGGATGCACTGACCAACAAAACAAGATCCGCCTCAGAGCAGCCTGATAAATCCAAAACTGTGTTTTTAAACAAGACCTAATAGCGTCAGAATCATAAAATATGGCAATTACTTACAGTTTTCATACAATTTTCACAGATGTTTTTCTGCTGATCATTTGGGGCTAAAGGACAAGCATCCAGCTGCAACAGCGGATTTTAATTTGATGCTAAAACGCATCATCTCCCATGATGCACAAAACAAATTGAGCACAAAATGACTTAAGTGAAACCTCCACACCTTCCAGCCGCCCTTTCATTACCAGCCGCGACACATGAGTGAGAGGATGGAGCAAGACACAGTCGGTGTTTAGCGAATTACACAGTTTGCATGGAGGAGCAATTTGCTTCTTCGGGTGGAAGTGTGACTGAGTGTTTCAGGCGCTGATCTAAAATGCTACGTTTTGCGCAGCGGTGTTTAGACGCTCACACACACTGAGAACATCCGGATTTGAGATTTGAGAAATAAAACAATGCTCGATCTCCAGTGATAGATCAGCCCAAAAAACACAGAGCGGAGGTGGGAATATGTGGATTTTTGTTCTTGTAGGAGCAAAGAAAAAAATTTTTTTCAAGGCTTAGCATTTCTTTAAAGAGTGCGTTTCTCTCGACACTTTCTTGCAAAAGTTATAGTCGAGGATTTTCTTACTCTGAGAAATGGAAGTAGCATGTAGTATTTAATTATATTTGGCTGTAGTGTCCATCCTAAGTTAAAATTAATCCAATGGTTAATCAGCTGTAGATAAACAAGGATTAATTCTTGAATGGTTCATTAAAATGTGTCCTGCAGTTCATGAACTATTTTGCTAACAGACAAACTGGGTTGACACCAACAGGCAATCCTAAAATTTTTAACAAAGCTCTTGCTCCATGACTGTTTGTCATGTTTCAGGAATGACTCTCAGCAACATGTAAACATAATTTTAGCACAATATTTGTGAAAGTGACTGAAATGTAGCCATTTTGTGTCTTACAATGTCAGTCAGCTGTGGAGGCAAATTTAATTAGATTTGCTCCTAAAAATAATCTGTTGTAGAAAAGCATCCAGTGGTCATTTCATAAAGGTTTCAATT